TTTTACACGTTTAAAGAGGGGAGATATTGAGAAAAGTGTCGAAAAATATTTGAAATAGAGAGACACCCCTCCTTTTATATATTATGTATAAAAGACACGTGTCAAGACACTGGTCTCTCTCTCTCTCTCTCTCTCTCTCTCTCTCTCTCTCTCTCTCTCTCTCTCTCTCTCTCTCTCTCTCTCTCTCTCTCTCTCTCTCGCCACGGGGACCGAGTAGGAGAGGACCCTGGGAACGAGGTTGATCCACATTTGGAATAACCAGGGCCAGATCACCACTCCTAAACATTGATAATATCGATCTAAGAATAACTCAAAACCTGTCGAACCGTTTGAAGTAGTCACTGCATTTTAATTCGTAATAAGATTCATCGAATTTTATTCACGAGGTAAAGACAAAGCGCTCTGACATCATCAGCGTTAATGCACTCCTGTGCAAAAAACGGATGAAGAACAGTCCTTTCTATAATACTGGTAAACGATTTCATCGTGATTAATAGTATATCGTTAGATTATAAGCTTTTTCTTGGTTTCCTTTACAGGTTACTTATAGTTAACAATTTTCTGTACATGTTGATTTGTTTTCAATCGATTGAAGCTTCTTTTTGACATTAAGGATCCTAAGTCTCATTTCACGGGATGAGTACACCGATGGTAGTTTACTGCAATACGAGCCAAGGCCCTCTATAGCCCGTCTCAGTACAGTATTGTTATGTCCTTTTGCTTCTACAATACCAGAATCATCGAAGATTTGAGGTAAAAAACCTTCGCAAACGACGTGTAAATCTTGGTACAGCATGTCTGATGAGCAAAATCCCTTCCTGGAATCACAAGTTGACAAACAAAAGCGATTATTTCCTACCCAACACACCTCGTCTGACAGACATTCTTTTCGCTCCAGATGATCCTTAATGTAAAAATAGGGAAACAACAAATCCAAATCAATAATTTTGACAGATGCGTTGCTAGTGATCCCAAAATTTCCTAGGTGTCCGTCACACTGCTGCACTAGGCCGTAAGGATGTTCCGACAGGCTCATTATCGTATCGAGCAAGGAAAATGCAAACTGAAATTTTTCCCTTCTGCTTGGAAAATGTACCGAAAAGAAGTTAGAAAAAATAGGGTAATCATTCAAAGCGAAAGTCCTGTTTAAAATTGCATCGGCATATCGCGCATAAAAAGCTGCAGCATGAACGATTTTTCCGACGTAGTAATTGAAAGTAACCTGAAGTGGTTCTAACACATCCCCGGGTAGTTCCAACAGTTCCCAGGTAGTTCCAAATATTTTTGAGGCGATAAGAGGCACTTTCTCGACTGCGTACAGCCCACCACAATACCCATAGACATCCACAGTGTGCTTGCTGTCATTTAAAGCTATCAACATCAAGGGTTCTATTAACTGCAGCAAGGAAATGAATGTTTTGGCCTCGGTACCTGTCACTATCCCATCACTGTTTCCATCTCCAAGAATCGCTAAAGCAGATGTTAGTTTGCGGCATTGAGAGCAATCTCCAAACATCGTTCTTGCTCTCGCGGAAACGTCGTTCTTATACATCGCCGCTGCATCGTTGTCTTTCATGTCCTGGCGTGTACCGAACTCCTTGAACCAGGTCACATTGATTTTAAGTATAACTTGCTTGTCCTCCCAGTCTGCTTCATAGATTTGCTTTTCAGGCACCGTTGAGAGACATTGTCCAAGCTGAATTTTATTATGTTCGCAAAGATCAGAACAGAGCGATCCAGACACCTCTCCTGCTTCATATGCTGAACACTGAAAAAGATAACAAGTCCGTCAAACAAAGTAAGTCATGGACGAGGGGAAGCTAAGAAGCAGCGGCTTTTACCCAATTCCCTCTCGGCCCGTTAACAATCTCCTCCGGCTTCGCGAGAAACACGTCTGACTGAACAAGGGCCGGACTGACTCAACCTTGACCCCCGGGGGGGGGACTCCCATATGAAACAGACGGGGATGCTCGTCGTCTCGCTTAGGGGTGTAAATTTTGGATTTTGGTCTCGCTTAGGGTGTTCCGGGCAAAGCGCCAATATTTTAGGCCGCCAAGGTCTCGTTTAGGGTTCCGCGAAGAACTTGAGATTTATGACACAATGCTTTAAAAAACTACTTTTAGATAAAAGCACTCGATGATTATGTCTTTATATTATTAAAACTCATTGCATGTCGTATTTGTGTGTTCTTAAGCGGTCTCTTTTAGGGGTCAAAATTTGCTTAAGCCACGCCTGGATTGGTCTCCTTTAGGGGTCACAAAGAGCTTGAGCCACGCCCCGATGGTCTCATTTAGGGGTTAAATTCAAAATTTTCGACGAGCATCCCCGTCTATTTCATATGGGAGTCCTCCCCCCGGGCCTTGACCCAAATAAGTTCCTGATACCACAATGAAAGGGAATCCGGTAACCGGAACAGGGGGAAATTTTTGCTCACGGAATCCTGGATCCTGGGCTTTGGAATCCGAAATACAGCTCAAGGAATCCAGAATCCAAATTCCACTGACAAAGACTGGAAGTCGGAATCCACGACCTAGAATCCAGAATCCTTGACTGTGGTAGATTCCCTTTCATGGGGCGATCTTGATGTTACTTTTTTTCTTAAAAGATAAACTGACGTGATCATGTCCCGACCTCTTTAGGCTACGTCTCCAGGGAGCTTTTTCGGGGATTAGGTTAAAGCAAGTACGACAGATAAGGATACTTCCATAAAATGTCTCCTGAAATAAAGTGGTAGCCGAAAACTCGCGGAGGCAAAGGATTTCATTAATACGCCATAGTCGAATTTCCACTCGTACAGCGCCACCAAGTTACTGAAAAGTCAAGTACCAAAAATGACTTAACTTGCCCAAAATTTCCAGTTCGCAAAGGCCTTATAACTCGTTAACGTCTAAGCTCGTAAAAAACATTTACAGATTTCTTCTTCAGCTATTTCATCGTTTCGGTCAGTATTGCATCCCACACATCCTCGGAGACCCGGGGGCAGTCAGAAAGTTTTCAAGTACTTTCGTCCCGCCTTTCTGCCGATCCTACTGACTGCCCCTGGGTGATCTCCGAGGTTGCATGCCACATTGATTTTGTGATTTTCCCATCGGTAATTAAATGAATAACAAATGCCCCTGTTCGGGGAAGCAATTTAATTACGTCAAGCTAATTTTCCTAGGAAAAGGAAACCAATATAAAGCACGTGTAAAAATTTTTAGCGGCTAACAACGGGCTCGAGCAATTTGTGGTTTTGACACTCATCCAAGATGGCAACCCGTAACGGAGTCTATCTTTTTGTCGAGGGTCGAGGGTTCCATGTCGAGGGCGAGGGTACCATGTCGAGGGTCGAGGGTAACATTTTTTTTTCCAATTTTTCTTTTTTTTGGAAAAGGTAATAATCGATGCAATCAATGTCATTTTAAAAAACAAATAAGAAGAATTTAAAAAACATATGGCGCGTGAACATCTTCTAGTTGTTGGGTGGGGATGGGAGGGGGTGGAATAGAAAAAAGCTCCGGGACATCCCAATTTGTTTTCGAAGAATTACATTTATAACCCGGAAACCCATACCACGAACAGAACACGTTACTTGAAAACACTGATTTTTAAAAAAATGTTGTAAACAAAATTTAAAATGTCGTAAAACAAGAATGAGTGCGTTGAATTATGAATTTCTGGTCCAGCCAACAAGAATGGAAGGAAAAAACTCTTATTGCGTTGTAAAATGTGTCATAAACGAACAATGCAATCGTTGGAGTCTATCTTTTTGCAGAACTATTTAAATGCGCGAACTCGCATGGAAATCGCCACCCACTAACGTAGAGGTTTAAAATGGAATAATGCCTGGTAGCGACTTTCGGTGAGGTGAACATCGGCATTTGCCGACGCTTTCCCATTAAAATACAATATATCTTGTGTCTTTCTAGGCCACAATCGGTCATATTTATTTGTGAACGTGGACGTGGTGGACGTGAATAGGAAAAAAACAGACGTACGGTCCATGTCTCCCATTGATCCAATTAATTGTTTTACATTTGAGACATTTCTACTAAAGATCTGTTTTTTTGCCAAGTTGGAGATGAATAGGAAAAAACGGAGTACTGCGACAATGCCGTTTATCTTGAACCGTGAATACAAGTTTTTTATTCCCGAAAAAAAATCGACTGTGTTGCAATTTCTGTTTAACTGTTTGAAATGTTACAACGTCACACAAGGCCATTCCTGTACAATTTTTCGGTCGGTCGGACAAGAAAAAATGCCATTGGGTTTGTGGAGTGATTTTTGGTTCTGTTTTGAGGATATTTTCCCTGGTATTTCAATTCAAGCTTTCTCTGTGAACTATTTTTCGGTGGTTTCTGATGTAAATTTACTACTTTTAACATCACGCAAGAAACTGGACAGTGTATTCCAAGTCTGTCTTTTGCGGAATTTTTTTTTCTTTAAATATTCATATAGTGTACACTCTTTTTTTCTTTTTTTGAAAGTTTGCATAATCGGTCTGCTTCGATGTGATCGCTTTTCGTGAATAAAAGCTCCCCTTTTCGTGCAAAATAGGAAATAATCGCTGAAGCCGTTGTGAAGAAAGTTTTTGCGCAGTTACCTCTGATTTCTTTTTGAAATGCACACTAGGGATAAAGATGTGTACAAAATTAGTTTCGCCACATGACTGCCTATTGTCCCAGTGCCTGTCTTCCTTCACAGGAAGGGAGAAGGTTCTTTACTTTTAAGCGAATTCGAATGTCCACGTACTATTTTAATTAAACAACAACAACAACAACACCACATTTTCTTTATGGATGTCCCGGAGCTTTTCTCTATTCCACCCCCCAACCAACAACTAGAAAATGTTCACGCGCCATTTGCTTTTTAAATTCTTCTTATTTGTTTTAATGACATTGATTGCATCGATTATTACCTTTTCCAAAAAAAAAATTTTGGAAAAAAAAAAATGTTACCCTCGACCCTCGACATGGCACCCTCGCCCTCGACATGGAACCCTCGACCCTCGACCCTCGACAAAAAGATAGACTCCCCGTAACGTATAGCGCTCGATCTCGACGATCTTACGGAAAATAGGGGACTGTGAACAGTCTATGCTATTATTTGTTTGTACTACTTCCCACGAAAGGTTTGTAATTTTCACATGTAGGTATTTCAAATTAAGCTGAAATACCACCGCTCTAGGGCAATCAAACCGCAGAAATTTCTCATGTAGTAGTATCGGGAAAATAATACTGAATCCTTTGTAATTTCGGAAAAACTCATGACGAGTTCCCCTAGGATGATCGAACAGATACAAACTTTCTAGCCCTGTTAGAATTAATGCATTTGTAGAGATCTAAGGGTGCTCCGATAGCCTAAACAGACTATTCAAAGTATTGTTGGAAACAGTCGATGGATACCCCTGAGAAATTAAGGAGAATTTGATGAAGCTTTTCAAGGCGCTCAAATTAGGGAGGTGATATTTCATGTCATTTCATTTTTTTCCCCTTTTTTCGCGCTGTACGTTCGTCACTGAAGGCAGTATGAATAAGCCCAATAATAAAAAAAAAATGACAAGAACTGAACATAACAGATAGTCAGTATATGCCAAAACACAGCTAGATGACCACTGTATATCATCCGCCTTTTGTCTGTTTAAGTCAACTAACGTGAACAGGTTTGCAACTTACCAGCTGAGTAAGAAGAGGAGTCATGTTGCACCTCAGTAATCTCTGGATCACGGTCACATGTAGAAAGAAGACTGCAACAGTTGTAATCATCAAAACCTTTAGTTTCCAGCCAACCATAACTAATTGATAGAGTTCGAAGCCTATGAACAAAGCAGTAAGAAATCCTTGCATGAACTTTATCTCAGAGCTAAAGTAGTATTCCCCTAGGTTCCATTTCTTAAGCAGCCCCACGATTGTAGCCAACTTTGAATACCCTTGAATAAGGAGAAAAGGGAAATGTATATGGTTTAATCCCACTAAAATCTTACTAAACTCCGATTACGGCCTTGCTTAGTTTAATTTGCGTATAGTTGTAGGGAAAGATTTGTGGAAAAGACATCAGTAAAACATTTTAGGTAATTAACGAAATGTTTTGACACACGTGAAAAACTGTGTTTGACGTAAACAGATTCTGTTTAATTAAATGAGAATTTGATTTATAGAAACGCTTATAATAGATTCATCTCGGCTGAGTTCCCCCAAAGTTACTTAACATTAAAGTCTCTCTGAATAATAAATACCTCTGTTAAGCACCCCTTCTGGAAAGCCCTTTCTTTCCATCATAACTATACATTTCTATCCCTACCTTTTAGTATGTAAAGTACGGAATGGACTATTGAACGCCGGATGAAACTGTATGAAACTGTGCTCCGTTTTAATAGTTGCAGAAGGAACTAGCCATATCTGATATGGTTTTTAAGTCTCTTTTAATTTGCATATGTAATGCTTGGCGAAATTAAAAAGCGGGTGATTAGCATTTGTTATTTTCTCAGGCGAATTCACTCAGGTGTCACGGCATATCCAAGCTTGCAACTCAGAGGACTGGTCTCCGCTGTCTTCAGTTTATAAGCGGGCGAAAACCTCCTTTTGAATCACACAAATCAAACTCAGCACGCGAGAAAGAAATAGATCAAAAGAAGGTTGGTAAGTTTGTTATTACCGTAACGGTATTTGCGATCATTTTAATAACTCTGCCTCTAACTGGTTTTCCTAAATGTTTGTTTAGGAATCATTTATTCTCATTGTAATAAGCCCAGGAACGGGTATACAAATGCAAGCCAAAGATTTTTCGCAG